GGTGCTCAGCACTTCCACACTTGAGGCACTTGCCATCCTTTCTCCAGCACTCATTTGCAGTATGATTGGCTTTTCCACAAAAACCACAGGTTATCTGAGGGGTTGACACTTGTACACCTTGTGGAGCACTCCCAGGGGGTCCCCTTCCACTTTGACCTCCTCTCACTCCAGATCCTCTCGCCCCGGGGCCTCTAGCTCCAGCACCCCTTGCTAAAGCACCTCTCGATGCACTAGGGATATTCACTACCCCAGTTCCTCTACCCATCTTAGGCGGTGGGGCACTTGTAGAAATTGGGTCCCTGCTACCACTAGGGGCATTCCTTTTCCTAGCAAAGAATGACCTAGATTGGGCTCTAGCCGTCTCAAACCTCTGAGCTTTCTCTACGGCATCACTATACGTGTTAATTTGAGTAGTGGCTAGCCCTTCTTGAATCTCCACATTGAGCCCTTGCACAAATCTCCTAATGCGTCTCTGCTCAGTGGCTATCAGGTCAGGGGCATATCGGGCTAATTTAGTGAAGTTGGTCTCATACTCTGCTACACTCATGGCCCCTTGTTTGCACTTAATAAAGTCATCCTCCCTTTTCTCTTGGATTAGAGGTGGAAGAAATTTGGCATTAAATTCACGGGTGAAGTTTGCCCAAGTACTAGGGGTACGGTCTCTATCCCACTTATCCTTAATTAGATTCCACCAAGACCGTGCAGCTCCCTCAAATTGAAATGACACAAAAGTCACCTTCCGCGTCTCAGTGTAATCCAAGGTGGCAAAAATATCAGATATTCTCTCCCACCATCCCTCAGCTATTTCAGGCTCTGGCCCATCTTGAAACTTAGGCGGCCCAAACTTCAAGAACCTCTCCAAGGCCCTATCTTCAGTATCTACCTGCCCACCAGGTTGTTGATGCACTGGTCCAGGACCTTGACGGTCCGTCAAACGCTCTAGCACTTCGGTTATCCTATTGATAGCGGTGGCCATTTGATCTCCGCCCCCGCCCTCGGGTCCCCGATTTTGGTTCACTTCCGACGCTCTATCGCCCCCTTGATCACGAAGGGGTTCAACTCGTCTCCCTCGACCTCGACCTCGACTTCGACTTCGGCCTCGACCTCTACCACGGTGATCCATACCTAGTTATGCCTAATGCAAAACAAGAAGTAAGTATACAGAAATTTACGCAAAGTTTAAAGAGCAACGCAGGAAAATTGCATAAAATTGAGGAACAAAGCAGAAAATTATGCCAAATGAAGATCAACTTGAGGGCGATAAAAATAACCACAACTAACACATATATTAACATTTGAAATTCCTACAATTAGCATTTCATTGGGATTTTACAAAAATATAGCACAAAGGTGCTACAAGGTGCAACCAGTCATTCACAATCAAAAGAAGTGCTATCACCACAAAAGCAAGCCATACAGTTACAAAAATACAATGGCTCAAGAGTTAGCACCATCCCAACCAATGTTTACAAATTACAAGTCAAAAGAGAGTCTAACTAAGCCTAGTCCTCAGCGGGACCATCAAATGGATTCCCCTCATCAGGATCCTCTTCTGGATCTTCCTCCGGGTCCTCCTCTGGATCCTCCTCAGCACTAGGAGCTACCTCTGAGGCCTCGTCCATCACGTCATCCACCAGCATGGTAGCATCCGCTAGTACCCCAAAAGCTCGCTCACGAACCATGTCTCTCATCCTAGCCACGCTATCCTTGCTCTCTGCAGCTCCTCACGATCTGCCTCAGCCCTAGCTCTCTCCTCTATCACCATTCCAGTCAGCTCTGCTACCCTATTCTGCAGATTAGCCACCATGGCACCCAGCTCGTCCACGTCCTGAATCAGGGCTATGTTGGAATTCACCAACTGGCGACGTTCATCGTCTATAGCCAGAACCAAGCGGTTGGGGTAAGAGAAGGTCAACCTACAGTCACACCTAGGAACCCTGGTGTCGGGCGAGTACTGACCACGAGCTCCACCACCCTGAACTTGGTAAAATATAGGCCTAAGAGGCGGCGCGTTACCATTCACATGCCCGTTACCATTAGCAGCATGTCCGTTCCCATTAGGGTTCTCCATACCTACAAAACAGCCAAAACTTTCAAAGTTAAACCTTAGCACCATTAACTTGATCAATTATCACTTAAAATATATCTAAGTATCTCATTCCTATTTCTAGGAATAAAATACCTAACAATTCTCCCAAATACGTTCTAACCTAATGCTTTGATACCACCTGTGACGGCCCCACTTCCCCCTAAGGCGAACCAAAGGGTTGGCGGGTCGCCTGCCTAGCTCTCGCCAGGACTCACTCACTCTAGCAACTAATATCACCAAACATAAATCGAAAATAAACATTACTCCTCGAGCAAGCTAAGTACTTAAATAAATCATACAATTCAACTTATACAGCCCAAAAATACAATTCCAAATACCAACGAAAACGTCGAGCTTAAAATACTTAACTTACAATTTATAGTTCCTAATCCAGGGCACAGAAGCACCACAGGATTCACATTTTCCCAAAGGCACAAGAAAATCATCCAAAAGATATTAAAGTATCTCCCAAAGTACAATTACAAAAGTGGGCATTCAAAATATAACATTTCTTTTCTAGTTCTCCAAGACTTCATGCATTTCAGAACCTGTCAAGGAAAACAAATTGGAAGGGATAAGCCAATAGCTCTGTGGTGCCTCGAAACATGCAATTCACGTAGGGCAATTTAACAAGTAAAAATGGACAAGTAAGCAATTAACAATTTAGGAAAACGAAGTAACATGACAAGAAAAGGATACGGGGCTCTCAGGAGACAAAGTCCTCGCGCTTGATCAGGTAATTTATAGTAGTTGACACTCCGTCAACTTTCACTACCTAATCTCCATGTAGACATTTTCCCTAATCTACACGTCTCCTAGCAACGACTTCCCCCTTATTTTCGGGCCCGACTCCAACACGAATTTTGCAAGCACTTTTACCAAGACGACAGAGAGGTACCTCCCACTCTAATAGAGCGTGGTACGTACATCCGTTTGGTTTATTTAGTCGACGAAACCACGCTCCAATCGACCTTGCAACACTTGTACTTGTGGCATTTCACGCAATCACATAGCATATAATATTTCATAATGTCTCTAGCAAGTGCTTTTAACAAGTAGTTCAACTAGCAGTTAAACACGATTCACGCAAGAGACACTCACCTAAGTGAAGTGTCTAGAATTCCAAACTTTGACCGAGGTTGTGCCCTTCACCAACTCCTAAAAACATACAAATAATTCACGTAAATTTCTACTTTTGAGTTGGCGAGTTTACTCAAGTCTTCTAGCATTTAATTTCACTCAAAAATCCCAAACTAGCATTAATCGTATTCTCAAAGTGAAATCCACAAATTTCAAGTGAAATTAAATTTTGAGGTTTCTTTAAAACCAAAAACTTGCTAAATTCGTCAAATGTTCCAATAACCAAGTTCTAGAGTCGTATAAGCAATTAACGCCCCTTTGGTGTCACAAGTTGAGAAAAATCACATTTAACCATTTAGAAGAATTTTCCCCTCTAATTTTTCCCAAAAATATCTTGGAAAATTCTTTTAAGAGGAAATCATATAAACCAAGTAAAACTAGCCGTTGGAATTTCTATAAAATAGAAACTCCTTAAGTTTGCCAAATTTCATTGACCAACTTGGTTCAAGGATTTTCATGAAGGCAAAAACTTGAGTTTTCAAGAAAATTTCCAAATTTGGCATATTTCTCGAAATAGGGCATTTGGTCTAATAAAATTCAAGGTTATTGACTCGAAGTGGATCTGGTAACAAAGGTTAATGCTAGAAAACATTTTTGGGACAATTTAGTCCACATTTAACCAAAACGAAGTCCAAACGTCAAAAATCATTTCTAATTTCAAACAAAATTTCTGTTTTGGGTAGCCTCATGAAGAATAAAATTTTGGTCCACTTTTTGGACGTAAACTCTACTAGATTTTTGTCCCAAATTGAGCTATACACACCCCTTAACTAAACACAAGTCACATTGGCTTCATGTTAACGTGAAAATCATTCAACATGTCTCATGCAAAGCTGAAAATAAAATTTCCAAGTGCATTTGCTACAAGCAGTTCATTTTCTCTTCACTTTGTCCAAAATTTTTCAACTACTCAAAGGCTACATTTTTACCCAAACAATACTTCACATATAGGTTAACATGTTTACAGCTCAAATGGTTCAAAAACTTGTCAAAACCAAACCCCAAATTCGCCCAAAAATCTGGAAATTTCCAGAATTTTTCGGACAGCTCAAGGGCATTTTTCTCTTTGATTTTTCAATGAAATTTCCCATTGTACCAAAGCTGCATTTTCACCAAAACTACTCTACACATATAGGTGAACATATACATGATTTAAATGGCTCAATAACTTCACAAAATCCAGCTCAAAATTTTGGGTAAAAATGGAAGAAAAACAGGCCTGCTGGTTCGGTTTAGCAGAGCAGAATTTTCTCCTCTTTTTGCTCAACCATCTCCAACTTATAACTCATATTTTAAGTCCATAACAATCACAACCAATTAGTCCAACCTCCCAACAAGCAATCCAGTTCATTACCTAAGCAAAAATTGTAAAACATAAAACTCCTCTAGCTTCATCAATCATTAGCTTAGAGGATCAGCAACCCAACATGTTTCACCAAGACAAGCTAAAACTTCAAGAACCAAAAACTGCAACAAATCTGAAATTTTGGCTAAGGGGGTGAAGCGGAAGTTTTTGGGTTACCTTTGGTGGTTGTTTACTAGCTAAATGAAGTGCCTAGTTCCCCAAGTTCACTCCTAGAATCACTGAGGTCAGTCGGCACCCCTTGCACTCTGTTTTTCTCTCGGTCAGACCACCCAAAGCAGCAACCCAGCAGCAAACGTTAAGGTGAAGAGAAGCTTGGGTCTGGGGTTTTGAGTCAGCTTGGAAGGTTCTGTGGTTGGAGGAAAGAAAAATGGCAGCTGGTTTCTCCTTCTCCCCTGGTCTGACGCAATGCCGGCAGCAGCAGCAGCGATCTTCCTCCTCCTTGCTCGGTCGAGACAGCAGCCAAGAATGGAGGTGGAAGCTGGAAATGGAAGCTTGAAGATTGGGTGTGAATGGCTGAGGATGGAAGGCTGTTAGAAGCTTGGAATGGCAGCGGTCTCTGCTTCTTCTTGCACCAGATGATCGAGCTTGAAGAGAAGAGAAACGGCTGGTAGTTGGTGATAAGATGGGTTGAAAATGAAGGTAAGCTAGAGGTATAGGTTTGAAGACTTTTTGGGCATGCCATTAATGGTGACAATTTCGAATTTAAATCGCGTTTAAGCGCGAAATTCTTATCTACTAGTAGAAATTCCTCATCTAGCATTTTCTCAACTTAATTATACATTTTTATAACCTCTACATATCATACAGTTCAACTTAGAGCTATATTGCGTATGGGAGTGCGAAAATCCAACTGATATAGGCAACCCTAGGGGAAGACCCTCCTAGAACCTCCCAACCTTGTAATTATCAGAGTTGGATCTTTTCTCCCAACAGAAATTGAACTCGATTGTTCTCATGAACTCAAGACCTCTGACACACAAAGGTAATCAGCAACCTTAAGCAAATAAGGATGGATGAAGCGACACCACGATTAGGGAACAAGCTAATCGATAAAGTCTGATTTGAATCCTAAGCTATGAACTCAAGAATTCAAGAGTAAGTTCGGTTAAGAACTTGAAGGAAAATTCCTCACGATTTCTGGTTGTAATAATCTCTGTCCTTTCACGCATACAATAGGTGCCTTTTATAGGCTAAAACTAGGGCAAAATCCGGCCCACATAAACCTGGAAGAAATTCGGTTCGCATAAAGAGCTTAAAGAGCCAGCTCTTTAAGGCTTTCCGATAAGGCCCAATAAGTAATAAAATACTCAACGCCTAACAACTACTAAACTAAACAGTCTTAAAACAACTACCAACTAAGCTAACAAGTATGAGATCATTCCTTCACTTCAAACGTACAAGTGAACAAAGTAACTTCATGGTCCATCAAATCTTCAAACCTAGCTTGCTCCTTGCTTGTATGGTGAATGATCAAGGCTCGTAAAGCTTACTTCGCCTTCTTGGTTCTTGATCTTGTCATCGGACTGCGAATGTGGATCAAAGGGTCCTTGACCCAAGGTGGAAGTTGTTGCACACCCGTATCCGCATCACCAACTTAATGTTTAGCCGAAAGCAAATCGTCAAATAAATTGTGAAAATTCATGTAAATTAAAATATAACATTTATATAAGTGAAAACATCATTAATAATATAAATACACATTTTTTTAAATATAAATCCATATTATTTAATAATTTTCAAAGTTTAAATAATATTTATTTTAATTTTCAGAAATTAATGAAATTTTGAGACCCTCACATCCTTCCCCCCTTAAAAGAATTTTGTCCTCAAAAGAATTCTTTTGGACTAATAAGGAATCAGATAAGGGATCAGAAGAATATTAGTCCTCAATCCCTCAATAATATCAATCCCTCAATCCCTCACTAATATCCCCCAAAAATTCTTTTGGACTAATATCTGATCCCTTATTGTCCTTTCCGTTCCAAATTCGGTCATCAGCAGGAGAATTGCTATCGAAGGGATCCTTCCCTGCGGCCTGTGAAGGTGGGGCGGAATTCCTTGAAACTTCAGGAGACTACTGCGCCTGTCACGAGGTTGGACAAGGGTAAAGCTAAGCAGGGGGAGTTGCGGTCTACGCCTGGAAAGATTGCAGCGACGTCAGGTGTCGCTGGGGCAGAGACTGCTGTGCCGGCACCAGTCCAGCAGCAGTTGTTGATCCAGGGACATGGGGGGACAACTGCCTGTGCGATGAATTCCAGGGGGATGGCGGCAATGAAGGGGTTGGTGCCAGCAGCGCCTGGGCAGCAGGTAGGGGAGGCTGAAGTGGAGGTTGGTACTGTCTCTGATCCTTTGGAGATTTTGGAGGATGAGGGGATGGAGCAGGAGGTGGGGCATGCGGATACTGTTGTGGATGGTACGCATCAGGGACATGGGAGGGAAACTGCATGTGCTATGAATTCCAGGGGGGTGGCGGCAATGAAGGGGTTGGTGCCAGCAGCGCCTGGGCAGCAGGTTGGGGAGGCTGAAGTGGAGGTTGATATTGTCTCTGATCCTTTGGAGGATTTGGAGGATGAGGGGATGGAGCAGGAGGTGGGCATGCGGATGCTGTTGTGGATGGTGCGCATCAAGATGTCAGTTGCGGAGGAGTGCAGGACGTGGGGCTGTAGCAGGAGCAGCAGAGTGATGTAGAATTGGGTGGTAGGTTGGAGATTATTTTACCGCGTGCTTTTGTTGCTGATGTGCGTGGGGGTGGTGTGGAGGGGAGCAATCCAGCTGGTGTTGAGGCACGGCCAATTGCACTTGTGGGAGATCAGAGGGTGGAGTCCAGCAGTGATGAGGACGTTTCCCTATCCCCACGATTTGCTACGGAGCTGGTGCGAGTCCAGGATGAAACTTTAGTGCCCACAGCTGGAGTTCTTGACAGTTCGGTGGCGGCTTTGAGAAACAAACAAAAAGGTATTCGTGCACATTTCCCTTCTGATAGGCAATTACGTTCTAAATTGATAAATTCGCAGAATTCTCTTCCTGTTTTGTCCCATGATTAAGGGTTTATTTTGGAATGTTCGGGGCATTTCTAAAGCCCCGAAATTGAGAAGGATTAAAAAATTGATTCAACTGCACAATTTACAATTTTTGGCTTTTTGTGAACCTTGGTTGGAGGTTGATAAAGCCGAACGGTATAGACATAAATTAGGGTTTCATGGAGTGGTGCATAACTTGGTGGGCTCGATCTGGGTGTTCTTCCAAGAGCCTTTTTCAGGCTTGGTGGTTGGAGAGAGTCCCCAGCATGTGTCAGTGCGCCTTTCTCACGATCATGTGCCGGGCTCCCACCTTGTTGTCTCCTTTGTGCATGCGCGGTGTACTCCTGTGGAGAGGTGTGAGCTATGGGAGGGTTTAATGCGGGATAACCCGGGTTCCGCTGCATGGATTGTGGGTGGGGATTTCAATGTAATTTTAGATGCTGAGGAGAAGAAAGGGGGTCGGGCTTTTACTCCTGGTGAAGCTATGGAGTTTAGACAGTTTATCAATGAGGCGAATCTCACGGATGTCGGTTTCTCAGGGGCTCGATTTACCTGGTGTAACAATAGACATGGCAGGGCAAGAATTTGGAAAAGATTGGATCGTATTTTAGTGAATGAGGGTTTTTTTGACACAGGGATGTCATTGGCGGTGTCGCACTTAGCCCGGGAGTCGTCAGACCATGCTCCGCTCCTTCTTTCACTGTCAACCAGGCTGGACACTAAGCCGCGGTCGTTCAGGTTCCTTAATGTCTGGAAGAGGCATGAGGATTTCTTGCCTATGGTTCAGGCTTCTTGGGAGCAGCCCTGCGCTGGTTCCCCTTTGCAAGTTCTTTGTTGCAAATTAAAACGGCTGAGGGGCACTATACGGGATTGGAGTAGGAGGGTTTTTGGGGATATCTTTCAGACAGTTAGGAATAAGGAAGAGGAAGTACGGCTGGCGGAGGTCCGTGTAGAAAGTGATGATTCAGATGCTGCTAGGGTGCATCTACATCTTGCCAAAGGTCAGTTGCAGGCGGCCTTGAGAGTGGAGGAGTTGTTTTGGAAGCAGAAGGCTCGGGTTAGGTGTGATGCGGATACGGGTGTGCAACAACTTCCACCTTGGGTCAAGGACCCTTTGATCCACATTCGCAGTCCGATGACAAGATCAAGAACCAAGAAGGCGAAGGAAGCTTTACGAGCCTTGATCATTCACCATACAAGCAAGGAGCAAGCTAGGTTTGAAGATTTGATGGACCATGAAGTTACTTTGTTCACTTGTACGTTTGAAATGAAGGAATGATCTCATACTTGTTAGCTTAGTTGGTAGTTGTTTTAAGACTGTTTAGTTTAGTAGTTGTTAGGCGTTGAGTATTTTATTACTTATTGGGCCTTATCGGAAAGCCTTAAAGAGCTGGCTCTTTAAGCTCTTTATGCGAACCGAATTTCTTCCAGGTTTATGTGGGCCGGATTTTGCCCTAGTTTTAGCCTATAAAAGGCACCTATTGTATGCGTGAAAGGACAGAGATTATTACAACCAGAAATCGTGAGGAATTTTCCTTCAAGTTCTTAACCGAACTTACTCTTGAATTCTTGAGTTCATAGCTTAGGATTCAAATCAGACTTTATCGATTAGCTTGTTCCCTAATCGTGGTGTCGCTTCATCCATCCTTATTTGCTTAAGGTTGCTGATTACCTTTGTGTGTCAGAGGTCTTGAGTTCATGAGAACAATCGAGTTCAATTTCTGTTGGGAGAAAAGATCCAACTCTGATAATTACAAGGTTGGGAGGTTCTAGGAGGGTCTTCCCCTAGGGTTGCCTATATCAAGGTGGCTTCAAGAGGGAGACCGAAATACAAGGTTTTTTCATTCTGTTGTCAAAAATAGAAGGGTACGCTCGATCATTCACAGGATTAGAAATGGCCAAGGGGAGTGGGTGGAATCGGACGAGGGGATTGGAGCAGAGGCAGTTCGGTATTTCGAGGGGTTGTTTACAGCTCAGCGTCCACCATCTTCCTCTGAATTGCTTCAGCATATTCCAACACTTTTGACTGATGAGGAGAATGATTTGCTGGAGCAGTTTCCCTCTGAGATGGAGATTCGAAGTGCGGTGTTCGCAATGGATGGGGAGAGTGCACCGGGGCCGGATGGTTATACGGGTAAATTCTTTATGGTAGCATGGTCAGTTGTTGGTGCGGATGTGGTTAGCGCAGTTCGTAGTTTTTTCTGCGGTGCTGAGTTGCCTCGTGCTGTTACAGCGACTTCCATTGCGCTCATTCCTAAGGTGGGGCACCCACAGGATTTTTCACAATTCCGGCCGATTAGTTTGTGTAACTTTGTTAACAAGTTAATTTCGCGAGTTTTGGCCGATCGCTTGGCCCAAGTCCTTCCAAAGATCATATCCCCACAGCAGAGTGGATTTGTTCGGGGGAGGCTTATATCGGATAATTTCTTGCTTGCACAAGGGTTGCTTTCTAATATGGGGAGGACCTCCAGAAATGCCGATGTTGCTCTGAAGTTAGATATGGCAAAGGCTTATGATCGTGTTTCATGGATCTTTTTGACAATGGTCTTGAGAAGATTTGGGTTTAGGGAGCAATGGATTGATAGGATTTGGAGATTGGTCTCGAATGTGTGGTTTTCGGTTCTAATAAACGGGGCCAGTGTGGGTTTCTTTAAGTCTACGCGAGGGCTTCGTCAAGGGGACCCATTATCTCCAGGTTTGTTTATTATTGGCACGGAGGTGTTGTCCCGTTCTTTAAACAAGTTAGTGGAGCATCGGGGTTTCAAGTGCTTTTCTGTTCCGCGGGGCAGTCCTAAGATCACTCATCTCAGTTACGCAGATGACGTCCTGGTTTTTTTAGGTGCTTCATCCTCTTCGCTGAGATGTGTTATGCAGACAATTGAGAATTATGAAGCAGTTTCGGGACACGAGATTAATGTTCAGAAGTGTGGGTTCATGGTGCATGCTAAACTGCCTAGGCAATGTGTGGCAAGGGTTCGACGGGTAACTGGGTTTGGTCTTAAGTCGTTTCCTGTGCGTTACTTGGGATGTCCGCTTTTTGTGGGGCGCCGGAAGTGCCTATACTTCATGGAGCTGGTACAGTCAATCATTTCTAAAGTTTCATCATGGAGTTCTAGATTTCTGTCCAATGGGGGTCGGATTGTACTCATCAAACACGTACTGTCAGCAATTCCAATTCATTTATTGGTAGCTTCGTGTCCTCCAAAGGGAGTCCTAGCCTTGGTTGAACGGGCTATGGCAAATTTTCTCTGGGGGGAACGTGAAGGTGGCCTCCGACATCATTGGATCAAGTGGGCAGACCTCTGTGCCGACTCATCACAAGGGGGGGTTGGTGTTCGGTCGTTACTGGATGTTTATACAGCATTCTCGCTCAAATTGTGGCGGCGGTTTCGTACGGGTGAGTGTCTAGGGGCGACATTTATGAGATCCAAGTATTGTCGGCAGAATCGTCCATGCATGGTAGGGGCGGGTCAAGGCAGTTCATATATGTGGAGGCGCTTGCTTCAAATCCGCGAGGTGGCGGAGCAAAACCTTTGGTGGGAGTTGCGGTCGGGACAGTGTAATTTCTGGTTTGACAATTGGATGGGTCTGGCCCTCTGTGTCAACGGTTACAAAGTGTTTTTGATCACTTAGTTAGGGATTTCGTATTGAATGGAAGGTGGAATCAACAGTTGCTGCGGCTTTGGGTTCCTAATGACATTGTCTCAGAGATAGTTACTAAAGTTGCCCCAGTGGGGTCCGCGGAGGATCGTGCGGTGTGGGCCTTGACGGAGTCAGGGGATTTCTCCATTGCTTCCACATACGCGCTGGTTGGTAGCCAGACCCCCTCGTCTTTCATGTTTGATAGGGTTTGGCACTCTGTAATCCCAATCAAGATATCTTTCTTCATGGTAAGGCTCCTGCGAGATCGGTTACCGATGGCGTCGTCACTAGGAAGATTGCAAGTGTATGGTCCATCCAAGTGTTTTTGCTGTTTGGCCTCGCAATCTGAATCATTGGAGCACGTCTTTGCGGAAGGTGAGCTAGCTCAATTTTTGTGGACCTTTTTTTGGAAATGGCGCTGGAGTGAGGTATAGAGGATTAGAGGTACGGTCATGTTTGGCGGCTTGGTGGTGCCTACCGGTTCGGCACTCTCGTATGGAGGCATTACACTCGGTTTTGCCTTCCATTATTTGCTGGCATATTTGGTTGGCACGGAATTTGGCAATTTTTTATGGGCAGCTCCTGCGGCGACAGACCATTTGTGATCGTATCCTGGCAGATGTCGTAGGGCTATTTCCCAGAAAGTTTGTAGGTGAGTTTACTGGGGTTGGCTCCTGGCCGGAGGTCTACTCCAACATATTTGGGTGGAGGCCTCGATATACCCATAGAGTTGTTTGTTGGAAATTTCTAGCCCAGGGGGTTTTCAAGTTAAATACCGATGGGTGTTCGCTTGGCAATCCGGGCGTTAGTGGCGGGGGTGGTGTGCTTAGGGACTCTTCTGGTGCTTTGTTGTTTGGATTTTCTGTTCCGTTTGGGGAGCTGACTTGTCTTCAAGTGGAGATAAAGGCTTTGGTGTTTGGGATTCAGCAATGCTGTCTTCGGGGATTCTCGCGGATTCGGGTAGAGGTGGACTCTCTTGTGTTAGTCAACCTACTGGTAAGACGATGGAGGTGTCCGTGGTTAGTGCGGTCAGATCTGGAGGCGTTACTGGCAATGCAGGGTGTGGAGTGGACGGTGGGGCATTGTTATCGGGAAATGAATCAAGTGGCGGATGCCTTAGCCAAGGTGGGGGCACAGTCTGAGGGGATTATTTTGTATACGTCACAGTCTGAGTTGCCAAGATTGGCAAGGGGGGCCTTAGGGTTAGATAGGTCGCAGACTCCTGCTATTCGTTCTCGAGCTGTTTCTCACTGAAGTCTGTGTTTTTTGGTTTTCTTGCTTTTAATAAAAAAAGTAGCCACATTGGTTGAAAAAAAAAAGTGAAAGAATAAAAGTAGTTTAAATTTGAGAAAAAAAAAACAAAAAAAAACATATAAAAAATTTTGGACTAATTCATTTCTACTAATAATACAATTAAAATTTTGAGTAATTTTTCCTATTGGTAAAGTTACTTAGTTTTGGACTAATTTACCCATATTAGAAGCAAAATTAAGCTTTGGACTAATTTGCCTCTGCTAGTCAAATATACTACCATATTCCTTAATCAATTTTGGTTCATAAATGGTTAGGCATGCCAGTTAAACCTTGTAAACTGAGGATTTTACAAGTTCAAACTTCGCCCAAAATAAAAAAATATTTATATGTTGGATTCCTCAAACCACATAAAGTTCACATATGTGGGGGCCAATCTCAATCCGTATCAAGTTTGGATTGAGATTGAACTAATTTAGATTTAACAAGTCAACATTGTCTATGCGCGTGTGTATATTTATTTATTAAAGAGTACTTAACGAATCAATACTAATTTGAGCTAGGTTCGTTCAGTCGAAAAAGTTTGAGGCTTAGTTTTATGTGTTGTTTGACCAGGCAAAGCTTTAGCCTAAATAAGAGGTTTGATTCAATTGAGTTGAGCCTGAGCTTCACCAGATTCGAAATCCCATAAAAACCCAACTCGAATAATTATTCACATAAATATGTATATTATTCATAATAATGTCTAAAGCTTAATAATTATATATGCTACCAATTTATAGTTTATGTATGTTTATTCAACAATGTGTACTATTAAATACCTAATTAATATTGATTGTGAGCTTGGGTCGAGCCGACTAAGCTTGAATCATTTGTGAGCTGAGTATGAGTGTCATAGTGTCAACTTGAAACCCAAAACCCAAAGCTTCTAATTTTTCATGCCCAGTATGACCGTTCCAAATCCTGACATGTAAAGCCCAAATGATGCCTCTAATTATAGGTCTAGAGTATATTGGTGTATAAACTAATAATTCTACTTCATCTATCTCCAATCAAATATATGATGAGACTATTAATTAAAACATCTTTAAAAAGGATAACATGATTGGTTATTCAAAAATGACTCAACACAAGATGAGTAATTTGAGGATAAGTAGTCCATCTGATCCAGCCAATGAGCAAAACGCAGACCTCAAGATGTAAAGTAAGATTCCTATATCCTATATATATAAAGGAGTTGTTGTTTGACTATTAAATAATTTTCATTTGATCTTTTCAAGGGACAAGTTAGGCAATGCAGCACGAGTGTACAAGTCATTAACGGTATAGTACTAGCATTGCATGTGCATTGGTGTGTGCATTACCCACTCTACCTTTAGTGGGTTGATGCTTACGCTGCCGATGTGTAGCTATTCAGCTGTTGTTTTAGTTTTGTGCTTCGGAGTAGTCGTTACCATTGATTTGTCATTGCTGCAAATCATCATGCAAGTCATTGAGTTTCTGCAAAGAGATCCAAGGGTTGAATTGAATAATTGGAGCATAATTACACACATGAATGCATTGAGAAGAACATTAACTCAATCCTTTAGAGTGGAAGTGTAACTATTGGCTTTTTCTCTTCTAAATTTTTCACAAAATGAATTCAGCATATATAAAGAGTTGGATCATTAGAGTGAGCAATTATGGCTTCTTTACTACAATACTAGTGGATGGAAGATGAGGGACCTATGGGAAAGCATGTCTGAATGGAAAATTGAAAGTTTTTTACTTTTCTGAAGCATTTGTTGAGCAGTTTTTTTAGCAACCTAAAAAATGAAGAAGGATGTTAACACACAGTACGGTTGCATGAGTTGTTTAAGCTCCATATTATCAAGGTGGTTCTTGAAGAGGAAAGGTTTCTTGCACTGTGTTTTTCAGGTAGATACTATTTGTATGTATATTGAATTTCTGAATGAAACAGTGACAATATTGTGTAGTTTAAAAGTGGTAATTATATTTGTAACTGTATTCTTGAATTTTCATGTTTGCCAGCAACTGAGGTACAACTATGAGGCAAAGGATTTGTCCAACAATAGCTTCCTGATCAAGGTACTTCCTAAAACAATTGTTCCAATTAATGAATGCATTATTGGTGTTTATGCGTTGCTGTACTAGAATTACAATTGTGTTCTATATCTGTTTTCTGCAATTTGGACTTGCTAATTAGCCTTATATTGTTCTTTTCAACTTATCTGCAGGCCTATATGTCAATTAAATTGCAGTAGTTATGGTAGGGGAAACATAAATAGGCACTAATTAATAAAAGCACACCAAACATTCTTAAATATCTAAGCATATGATAGTTGTATGGCTACGGGCTCGTGTTTGTTGATTAATTCAGGAGAAACAATTTACAATATGAAATATTTCAATCTTAGAATAAAGAATTTATAATTAGTTGTTTGATTTTTCTTTCTAATCTCTACAATTACAAGGACAAAAGTGATTCAATTTTTTTTTATAAATGTTTTCACACTAAATTTTGTAAAAATTCCTATTGACCTATGATTATTTGATTAAAACACCATTTGGTTACTTTTACATATCTCCACTTAAACAAATTAGTGTATTTGATTCTATTTGTGCATTTAAAAATCACTATACTTTCTCATTTTCTTACCGATATTGATAGTATTTTTTACTTTTTTAATCTCATGATTCATAACAAATTATGACATAGGTACTCACTCTTGCTCATTGCGTAGGCTTCTCCCCTAGTTTATTTCTATAGAGACAATTAGTAATGCATATTTGAGGATGACTTAAACCAAGATGAGTAATCCTATAACTTAAACCAAGATGAGTAATCCTATCTCATTATGTCTTTGAACCAATGCATTTATATGTAATAATAATGCTTTATCTTGACTCCTCTCCTATAGCTCTAAATTCGGGGCCACTCATAGTGTGTTTGGATATTGACACACATTCTTAAAATCAACGTACATTCGATGCATATTTGAAACTGACTTAAACCAAGATGAGTAATTTGAGGATTTTTCTTTTTATTTTTTAGTATAAGTGAAACGTCTCAAAGTCGGGATCTATCATTTACACTCCCTCCTCCGTACCATCAAACCCTTCCTTTCTTCAAAGATGAGTAATCCTATTTCATCAAGTTGATGATCCACATATATATATATATATAGCAACGCATATATACGTAATAATAATGCTTTATCTTGACTCCTCTCCTATAGCTATAATTTTGGGGTCACTCATAGTGTGTTCAGACATATGCATATTCTTAAAATCAACATTCATGGTTCGCTAAAAGAGTGATGGAAGGATCATCTGAAAAAGACAAAAGTGGAGCATTCGATTTAGCAGCCGTAACTGGGGCTAACATAACATTGGGATGATTGTTTGGATAGGAGTTTATTTGGATGATTTATTTGAGATAATTACAATAGCACTTTTTGTGATGTGATGTAAGTGAGATAAAAAGGTGATTGGGAAGATAAAAAGGTAATTGGAGTTTGTGAAGCAAATTATTTTATCTCAAATCATCTCTTCCCAAACACACTGCTCTCAATGATGTAGCTAAGCATGGCTGAGGGGCAATCTAAGTTTTGAAAATTTTAATTCATAATACATAAATATATGTGTAAAAAAAGTTGGTCCCACTAATATTTTATAATTTTAATTTATATTATGAAAGTGTATATATATATATATATATATATATATATATATATATATGAATTAGTCACCTTTAAATTAATTTTTCTGTAAAAATATTTATTTATTTTTTATTATGCTAATTATTTAACTTTCAAGAAATTAAACATATAATGTGGTGATCCATGGTAAATTGATCAGATTTGATATATTATACTGTAATAAAAAGACCAACTTCATAATTATTAATGGCTAAAACAAAAATAATAACTTTAGTGGCCTACATACAAATATACAATTTAACCCAATTGGTAAAAGATTTAAAATTAGTGATCTATTCTCTTACAAATAATTACTTCAAGACTTGGCGAAGACAAGAAAATCAATTATCTATTCTCTTGTCAACAAATTGATTAACTTTGTTCTCACTCTTCTTATATCAACTGTAACTACAAAACGGGCATTTTCAATTATGAAAATAGTCAAGACAAAGTTTCGAAACAGGATGTAAGATAATTTCTTGAATGATTACCTAACTGTGTATATAGAAAAGAAAATTGGTGAAAAACTTAGCACTGATTCAATCATAGATAAATCTAGTTCTATGAAAGAACGTAAATCTCAATTTACTTGTAAGAAAAAAGGTTGAAATTTCAAGATATGTTAACATAATTTTTATCTTTTTTAATTGAAAATAGTTATATTTGTATTTCATATATATATATATATATATATATATATATATATATATATATATATATATATGCATAAGTGACACATTGGAGCATCTTCTTATAATGTGCAACTTCGGTGGTTTGCGATGTTATATGATATTTAATCAAAGGTTATTTCTTGTCTTAATTTTTTTTATGATAGTGCTGCATATTTATGAAATAAATATACCTTTATAATTAAAGTTAATATTTGATGTTTTTAGATGTCATATATTTGAATAGATGGAAATTATTTTAAATATAACATATTAAGATAATTTTATTATGAAAAATTTTGACTCCTCTCGAAAAAAAATCTTGACTCCATCACCAGTTTCTCTTATCTACTCCTCCATATTCCACCGAAAGTAACATCAGCTGAGCACTTCCAAGAGTCAAGTTATCAAATTAATTCTTGTTATTAGCATGGTAAACTGGTGGCATGGATCCCGTAGGCTTCAGGAACTGTCATCGATATCCTCGAATTCCTCATTTGGGACGATGTCAAGCTCCACTACAAAAACGTGGTTAGTTGCATTTCCATTGGAGCGTTTATTGAAGAGGTCAGGCAAGCCCTCCTGGAAGGCCTCTTGTTGGAGCAATCATGAAAGCCATTCCACAACCACTCCAGCCTGAGAGTTCAGGCACTATAACAAACTCAAATTGGGTGGAAAAGGAGAAAGCTTAATCATTAGACGTGCTCTTGAAATTGATGGGATTTGGATAGAAGACATACCCCTTTTGTGATTTGGTGAAATTGGATACTAACAGGAGGCCATTGTTGGTGATTTTGGCTAACCCATCCAGACTTGGATTCGATGATTGAAATCCTTGATAGATGAATCCAACATCGTTACGTTTTGCAGCATTGGCTGCTATACCTGTGCCACGAATAGAGGAGGATGTTAGAATCTGATAAGGGTTTATTTTACGTATTTTTAATTGCATTTTATTAGTTGATTTTGGTTTGATTATTTAGTTTTATAACTAAAATAAATAGGTTTTGGTAAAAATATACATTGTTTGGTAAAAGTGGTTATTATTGCATTTCTATTGATTTTAGGGATAAAAACTTCATTTTTACGCAGGTTTAATGATTCAATCACCAAATGATGTCAAGTGAGGTGAAAAATAGATAATTGGTGATGAATTCAAGTGGTTAAAAGAGAAATGAAGTGAAAAACGTTCAAAGTGAGGAAATGCAATTCAAGACAGTTTTGACACTCTTAGGTATTTCGACTATATCTGGAGCTACACTTATCGGATTGAGGTGATCTTTATACCATTTTAAAGCTAAGAAATAGACCTACAATTGTTATGAAGACATTGAAATCCAATTCTGCTTTTTTCATGGACAAAAAGTCAGAATACAGAAGCTGCATTCTGTAGTCGAAAATCGAAACAGGGGTTTGACCAGGTGATAGTATTTCGATCATATCTCAGGCTACAAATCTCCGATTTGGATGATTCTGAAGCATTGTAAAGCTAACGCAAAGGGCTACAACTTTTGTGTTTTGTACAAAAGCTAGTTCGGCCTTCATCATAGAGAAAATCGCAGTTGAAGCAAGGCCAAGTTGAAAATGGGAGTTGAGAAAACGCGAGTTGATGCCGCTTTTTGTGTAGCCGCGTTTTGTAGCCGAAAAGCTGCAAATTACTCAGCCATTTCTCTTGTGTTCATGCTACTTTCCAGCCATAAGCTGCAAGGGAATTCGGTGTACATGCTTCAGAAGACAAAAGGGCAAGAAAGGTGGCTTATTTTCAAGTCAAAAACCATTGTTATTGACTATCCTAACAAAGTTTAGATTTGGGAATCAAAATGTGGAATTTGACTTGGAAAAAAGGGAGTCTTGAGCAGTTTTTATGCAGGGACATTGGGAGATGTCTGGATATGCATACATAGTCAGATTCTCTGATAGCAAACTCTCTCTAGCTAGTAAATTCTGCAGGAACACTTGGAGGTTTCATCGTGTCATCATCTAGTACAAGACATAGGAGATTCTTGGAGGGCTTCACCATTACTTGGCTAAACTTTTCTTTATCTTTCTTGTACTTGTAAACTGATATGTTTTCCATTAATGAAGTTATGAGTTTGATTGTTATATCATCAATGAGTAGCTAAATTTCTATATCTAGGGAGTAGATGAAACTTATGGCCAAGTGATAGAATTGTATGTGATTTATACTTGTTATATCTTGTATTAACTTGTCTACTTGTGTATACTTGATTACTTGTTGTTGTTTGATCACCAATAGCAGGTTTATAGTTGTTTTTACTCATTGAGAAATGGTAAAACAATGGAATAACATGAGTAGAGTTTGAGTTGTTAATTCATGAGAATAGAATTACACTCAAGTGGATTAAATCTGCATTTCATGCATGAACAAGAGAGTTTCAGTTTTCACCAAAAGATTAGGAAAAATTAAGGTGTTTTGGACCAATTTTATCATGAGAATGAAGTTTTGATAATTTTGGAAATGAATCCCTGGTTAAACAAGAGTAGTAACAAGTATTAAATTCATTCATTTGAATCATTTGTGTCATAAGTGAAATCTATATCCCTAGATTCAAGTATTTGGTGAATTTTTCTCCATTTGTGATATTGCAATTTTCTAGCTAAGGATTTTAGATTGTAGTCAGATTTAACTCTGAATTTTCTGCTCAAATATATTGTGAGTCTAAATAATAGAGTAAATTGGGATCTAGTAATTGTTTATGTTGCCCCTCGTGGGATCGACCCGATACATACCCTATATTACGAATTTGGCCTGTATACTTGCAGTCAAACGGGTATAAATTCGGATTTAACTTGCACTTGTAGTAAAAAATTACTTGTCAAGTTTTTGGCATCGTTGTCGGGGAGCGGCAATATTAGGGTTTAATCATCTCTATTAATTTAGACATCTCTATTTATTTATTTTTTTTAGTTAAGCTGTCTTTAGCTAATTTTACATTTTAATCAGTTTTTGATAAATAAAAGTTGCAGAATTTTTCTTATTTCTGTTTGTAGTGTATGCACCGGCCATCTCGAGAAATAGCACTTTTCGATCCATAAATTGAAAGGACGTTACGTAGACAAAGGAGAGATACACCACAGCAAGAGGAACAAGAGGTTTGGCAACTGATAGAGGAAATTTTAATAGAGCTACCATTTGAAGAAGAAATGACCGAAAACGAGGCAAATAGGCGAGCTCTACGAGATTTTACTTTACCGGGGGCACAAGGATCTTAAACTAGCATCACAAGGCCAACGGTAAATGCTAATAATTTTGAAATTAAACCATCACTGATTCAAATGGTTCAACAATCTCAATATGGAGGTAATGCTACCGAAGATTCAAATTCTCATTTGTCAACATTTCTTGAAATCTGTGATACAATTAATTTTAATGGTGTTAGTGATGATGCAATTAAACTTCGATTGTTTCTATTTTCGCTAAGGGACAAGGCCAAGGTTTTGTTACAATCTCATCCTCCAAACACTTTTACTACTTGGGCTGAATTAGCTAAGGCTTTTCTAAATAAATTCTTTTCACCTGAAAAAACTGCTAAGGTTAGAATGGATATAACTAGTTTCTCTCAACAGGAAGGAGAGACATTGTACGAAACTTGGGAGGGCTGTCGGGAATTGCAACGAAGATGTCCTCATCATGATTTACCAGATTGGCTAATAGTCCAAACACTTTACAATGGTCTTACCTTTCCGACAAAGACGCATGTAGATGCGACAGCGGGAGAAGCGTTGATGGGAAAGTCAGCCGAGGAAGCTCAACAATTGATTGAAGAAATGGTTGCTAATAATTATCAATGGGCTAACGAACGAGATAATACAAGGAGAACCGCAAGTATGCTTGAAGTAGATACCTTGAATATGTTAAGTGCAAAGATAGATAATGTGGTTGAGATGCTTAACAGGCAAGTTGGTTCTAGTTCTAACCAAGGAGTAGTTGTGGCATATTGTACTAACTATGGAGGAGACCATGATGATTCTGTGTGTTCTAGCAGCGAACAGGTTCAATATCTCAACAATTACAATCGTCCACCCCAAAACAATCTATACTCCAATACCTATAATTTGGGGTGGAGAAATCATCCAAATTTTGGATGGAAAGATCAAGGCAATCAACAAAGGGCAACCAATCCGCCGGGATTTCAATCGAGGCAACCACAGGAAAAACTTGCTAAGGTGACTTCGGATAGATTCGAGCGAGTTGAGGGGCGGTTGGACCAATTGGCAGGGATGTACAGAAACTTGGAGGTTCAAGTTGGTCAAATTGCCAATATGATCAACAACAGAAACCCTGGTGAATTGCCGAGTAAAATCGAAGTGAATCCGATAGAGTATGTCAATACAATCACTCTTAGAAGCGGTAAAACGGTTGAAGGACCTAATTTTGAAAATTCAGGTGGTGAAAAAGACAAGGAGCAATCAATCGAAGGGGAGAAAGAAAGTCGAAATGATCATATTGTCATTGATATTGATGCACTTCCTCCCAAATTAAATTTTCAGTTAAATTCTAATGTGATTCCTTTTCCTCACAGATTGAAGAAAGATGGACAGGATCGGGAGTTTGAAAAGTTCTTCAAAATGTTTAAACAATTGCATATTAACATTCCTTTCATTGATGCTATAACACAGATTCCCTCTTATGCACGTTTCTTGAAAGACATTATGTCAAGAAAGAGGAAAATAGTAGATAATGAGATGATAGCATTAACGGAAGAGTGTAGTGCATTGATTAAAAACAAACTCCCTCCTAAATTAAAAGATCCGGGAAGCTTTTCTATTCCTTGCACAATTGGTCAATTACATTTTTCTAATGCTATATGTGATTTAGGTGCAAGTGTGTCACTCTTGCCACTATCGGTTGCCCGGAGGTTAGGACTTCAAGAGCTAAAAGTTACCAATATCACATTGCAATTGGTGGATCAGTCAATCACACATCCAAAGGGTATTTTGGAAAATGTGCTCATAAAGGCAAGAAAATCTATAATACCTGTGGATTTTGTTGTCTTAGATATTGAAGAAGATGTGAGAATGCCAATTATTCTAGGAAGACCGTTTTTAGCCACCGCACGAACTATAATTGATGTGGAAAAAGGTAAGCTTATATTACGGGTTAATGGTGAGAAATTGGAATTCAATTTGGATAATAAAGAAGGGAGTATAGAGCCTACTGCTCTTGTTTCTAATATGCCAACCAAGAAAGGAACGAAGAACTTAAATTTATAAATGTTCTTGGTACTAACTTTCATGGTGTAGGAGCAAGGGAGGAGAAGATAAGAATGGAAGTTAACTTAATAAATTCGCCATTCCATGAAGAAAGTGGAGAAAAGTTGAGCCAAATTGAAAAAGACAAGCAAATTCCACTCCAAGGTGAAGTCGAGCCTTTATATGACAAGTCTAATACTCCTCCTTGGCATTTGAGAAAATTGAACTATGGAGATCAATACATGGCTCACCACATGGTAGATTGGCTCGGGAGCTTCGACCCGTGGGGAGAAAATCGCTCCCTAATGTTCTAAAATGATTCAACTTTTTGAGTCGAGCCAACGACTATAAACAAAAGCACTAATTGGGAGGCAACCCAATGTTTAAATTATATGTGTTAATTTGTAGTGATTTTGTGTTTAATATATGTATTTTAGATGATTTGTTGTTTTTGTGCTACAAGGTTGGCAAATGGAAGCAAGAATGACCATTTGAGGTGAAAAAGGCGAACTTTGATCAAGCAATTCAACCCCTTAATTTGCGTTAAAGGTGTATTTGATCCGTTGAAAAGGGATAAAATGCATGTTTTTAATGTTTTACATGTGTGCACATCGATAAATTTGGCAAACAAATGATTTATGATGCATTTTGAGTGATTCGAGTACCCATTGTAATTTTTTTCAAAATTCATTTTCTGCAAAAATTGCAGAAGAAAACGCGTCTAGCATGAAAACGTGTTTTCAATTCTGCAATCACAAAGAAGAAAATGCGGTTTAAAACGCGACAGAAAGTCGCGTTTTCAGATAAGTCGCGTTTTCAAGCCTGGATCAAAACTCAAAAACGAGACTTCCAAAACGCGACTCCAAAGTCGCGTTTTCTAGCATAACCGCGTTTTCATTCCTACAACATCCGTGAAGAAACGCGAGTTGAAGGCGCGTTTTGTTCCGCGTTTTCTGCGATGAATAAGAGTTTCAGAAACGCAATTTCAGCTTCATTTTTCTTCTTCTTTGCCCAATTTCAGTCGCATTTTTCCTTTTTTTTTTTTTACCCAATTCACCAATCTTCAATTTTGTTCCATAATCTTGCTAAAAATCATCAACCTAACACCTTTTGAGCATCATACAACCTTTTTAACCAATTAAAATCCATGAAAAATACCTAAAAGTAGGTTTTTGAGGGATTGAAGGTTAGGATTCTTAAACTCTAATTTCTTAAATTGGAGGTCATTTGAAGGTTGTTTCATAGGATTTTTCATATTTTTAGTATCACCAAACATTCTTCTACGTGATTTAGGTAAGTTTCTTCATCAAATTTTTGATTTTAGAAGTTCATTTTTTTTATCTTGAGATTTCTGACATCTTTTAATTTCGAAAATTTGATGATGTATATGACTATTTTTGAATTTATTCATGCTTATTAAGATTGTTTAAGCATGTTTATATGTTTAAATGTAGCAATTTGTTGGTCATTATTGTTTTAAAAATTCACAATTGCTATATTTGGAGGAAATTGAAAAATAGATTTAGGATATTTTTGAGCCATTGGTGATTATTAATTATGGTTAAGAATGGTTAGTTGATGATGTTTTAGCATGTGCATTATGTATAGTGAACAATTTGATTGATTTTGTGAGTTAATTAGTTTAATTTTTGCCTAACCATGGTTATAGTTAATTGCACATTATTATTATTAATTATAGATTGCTATAATCATGATTGATGCTACTTTCACTGATTGAATTATAATTGATACATATCTTGTTTAAGTTGGTGATTTTGGACAATTTTAAGCAGAAAATATGTCTCTTTTTGTATGATCATTGAATGATTAGAATTTGAGGAAATGTATATGAGGTTATTTGGATTAATTCTGGATTTCTGTTGCCAAATAATGAGTTGTGTCCTAGTACATGTGGTTAATTGAAATTTTTTTTAGATACTATGCCAAGGGGAAGAAGAGTGATACCTTCATCCTCTAGCTAGTAGTGGTGAGAGGGAGGTGAATGAGGAAATGGAGGTGACTGAGGAGGAAACGTGACATTCTCCTCTACCAGTTAGCTGACAACCTGGTGAGGGCACCTCTCGTGGAGCGAAAAAATCGGAATTTGACAGTGCTAGATTCAACAATCGCAGGAATCAAGAATGGCATGAGGAGCATGCTAATTTGGAGTTCTTGTTTGAGATGCACGTAAGTCCACCAGTTGAGATGATGTACAACATCTCGGAGACTTTTGCTCAGTTTGGATGAGCTCCGATTCTCACCCTACCAGGCCATTACTACCCCGACTTGGTGCGCGAGTTTTACACCAACATTGAGAGTAAGGCGCGCCACAGTGGAGAAATGGTTGAGTCCTGGGTGCGTGGAAGACGAATCGTCTCATCACGTCAAGATTTGGCTGCTATTTTGGGGTGTATGGATTACGGACGTCCAGTAGATTTGAAGAAGGAGCTTGTTCCCCCGAATAGGAAGTGGGATCCCTCGTTGGCCATGGCTAGATTTGGTCTCGAGTACCAACCTTTTCGCTCTACAAGGAAAGAGACCATAGTGGCGAATGTCTTCGAACCTCGCCATCGTCTTATCATTTATATGATGGCTCACAATGTCATTCCTAAGAAGACGGGACACATGGAGGTTCGCAAGAGCAATATCTACTTCCTTGATTACATGTTCCACAATCGGACTTCTCCGTATGCTCGAATTTCATTGCCTAACATCATCATTAGCCACATTTGGTCTACGGCGAGGCGTAAGACCACTTCTTTCAAATTATCATTTCCTCGTCTACTAACTTTGATCTTCCCACGTTTTGAGGTTCGCTTGGAAGGCATGTGGCAGGAGTATGTTCCACCAAGAGTTGAATTATCTATCACTACTCTCCGTCGACTTGGTACGGGGGACGTTCCACGCTCTGTTCAGGAGCGGAGACAGAAGGCTAGACATGGTCGCGATGAAGCTGGACCATCTACTGCAGCACCACCTCCTCCTCCGCCACAGACTAATTGGCAGCGACTTTTTGACCATATGGACGACTTTGCATACCAGTTTGCTGACATTAGAAATTGTCTAAGCTGAATTGAAGATCATTTAGGCATTCATCCACCGCCCAATCGTGATGCAGAGGATGACGATGATGCCGAGGGGGATGACTGACTTGGCGCACTGCAGATGCTATCTTTTGTTGCTGGATTTGCTTGCTTGATTGTCTTAACTTGTGGAACTTAAGTTATTTAACTTCATTTTATTTATTTTTTTTTTTGTTTTCTATTTTGTAGGTACTTATATTCTGGCAGTGGTTCGTGATTAATGGTTGATAAGGATCTCAGCCATTGCCTTGGAAAGTATTTCTTTCTTTTCTTTTCTTTTCTTTCCTTCCATACACATTGAGGACAATGTGTATTTTAAGTGTAGGGGAGAAATATGTGTGGTACTTTTGGTTTTAGTTGTGTTTGATGTTGGTTATATTTCTTGTGGTTGCTGGCAGGGAGTTTAGTCCACTTTTAAGGGGAGACTCTGTCAAAATTTTTCCAAAACCTTATACATATATATATATAATAATCATAATAAATAAATAAAATTTTGTCACTTATCCTTTTGAAATAAATATATGTGGTTTTGAAACCTCTTTTCTCATTTAATTTGGAAATGACTATTATGTGATTATAATTTTTACATTTATAGGAAAGTATATCTAGTAAAGTGGAAAAAATTATGTCTACATTTTGCATCTTTGATGAAAATTCTTCTTTTTATCTGATTTTATAAGTTAAGAAATTAATATGGTCAATAAGTGTCATACTTTTCTCATGATTATTCTTAGAGGAAATTTTATTATTTCTTTATATATATATTTATAAAAAAAATATTCTACTCCAATGGTTCTTGTACTTAGTAACCGGGAGTTTTCATCTACAAATGTCGACTTTCGCGTAAAACAGTACTTGAATTAAGAGTATGAACAGCAACTTGAGTATGTGAAATATTGAGTAACCGGTGATTTTCATTTAAAAATGTCGATCTTCACGTCAAAAGGCATTTTTCACAACTTAAGTAGTATTTAACTCTTAAAAGATATATAAAAAAAAAGAGAAGAAGAAAAAGAAAATAAAAAGAAAATAAAGCCCTCTTTAAGAAAAATAAGAAGTTGATCATGAGATTAGTTAGCATCTTTATTGACTATAGGAGTTGCTTGCTTGTGAGATTGGATAAAAATGAGAAGTTGAGTTGAATTAGTAAAATTATGGTATACTTGGCTTTTCTTTGTTTGATATTATGAGTACTTGAAGTTAATTGAAAGATCACATAAGGGTTATTTACCTTGATTCAAGGAAATGAAGTTGAAATGCTACGTATGTTTATTTTCAATCTTGGGATCATTGATGGTTGGAATTTCATATTGCTTGAGGATAAGCAATGGTTCAAGTATGGGGGTATTTGATAAGGGTTTATTTTACGTATTTTTAATTGCATTTTATTAGTTGATTTTAGTTTGATTATTTAGTTTTATAACTAAAATAAATAGATTTTGGTAAAAATATACATTGTTTGGTAAAAGTGGCTATTATTGCATTTCTATTGATTTTAGGGATTAAAACTTCATTTTTATGCAGGTTTAATGATTCAATCACCAAAGGATATCAAGTGAGGTGAAAAATAGATAACTGGTGATGAATTCAAGTGGTTAAAAGAGAAATGAAGTGAAAAACGTTCAAAGTGAGGAAATGCAATTCAAGACAGTTTTGACACTTTTTGGTATTTCGACTATATCTGGAGCTACACTTATCGGATTGAGGTGATCTTTATACCATTTTAAAGCTAAGAAATAGACCTACAATTGTTATGAAGACATTGAAATCCAATTCTACTGATTTCATGGACAAAAAGTCGGAATACAGAAGCTGCATTCTGTGGTCGAAAATCGAAACAGGGGTTTGACCAAGTGATAGTATTTCGATCATATCTCAGGCTACAAAGCTCCGATTTGGATGATTCTAAAGCATTTTAAAGCTAACTCAAAGGGCTAC